TGTGTGTGTGCGAGAGAGAGAGTGGCAACTAGTGTGAGTATCTGCCTGCTAGTTTGACAAGTGCACAAGTGTACATGTGTGTGTTGGTAAGTGTACTGTATGTGTATGTGTATGTGGAGTGTGTGTGTGTGTGTGTGTGTGGTGTGTATGATAGGAGAGAAAGCCAGAAAAGAGTGCCGTATGTGTGAAACTAGGAGAGCGCTCTCTTAACCTCCAACCCCTCCACACACACACATGCCCACCCCCTCACTCCCCCGCCCCCCTCCCACCTCCACAACCCAGAGGAACGTGAACCTTGTGTAGAGGAAGGGAGCTGGGGCTGGCTGGGGGGTCGGGTTGCAGGACTTGTGCTACATTTGCAAAGTGGGGAAATATATTTAGCCCTGGCTGGTCAGAAACAGGGACGTGAACACACTGAGACCCAGAAGGAGGCTTGGTATGCAGCCGTCAGCCATTCAATGCCCCGGCTGACGTGAGAGAGCGCTGGGGCAGTGCCCAGGGAAACCCCCCCTTCTCTTTCTCTCTCTGCTTCATTCCTCTCGGCCTCTGTCCTGATCTCATTCTTCCCAACCCCTCTCTCTCTCTCTCTCTCTCTCTCTCTCTCTTTCTTTCTAGCTGTCTCTTTGTTTCCCGGATATCAGAGTATCAGGGTATCAGAAGGGGGATTAATATGGATATGAGGGGAGGAAGAAAAAAGAGTCAGGCATTCAGAGCAACAGCAGAGAATTGAGGACATGAAGCGCAATGATCGGGACTTTGAAGCAACTGATGCTTGACTACTTAAACCTTTGAAGTATCTGCTGAATAGTTACTGCTCAAAATCCAGTTATATATCATCCAAAATGATCAGCTACTAATATTTTATTATAAATATTACATTGTTTTTTTTGTATATTAACTACAAAAACATAGGCTATACTACGTACATTAATATATGGTCTGGATCTGGGACACTATTAAAAAGGCCAAAGGAGGGAGGTCTACGGGCAGATAGGTGTGGTTACAGGGGTGGTGGTAGTGTCGGGGGTCCAATTTGTCCACTAGAGGGCGACCTCTGACACAATGCCAGGGGCTTCCCCATGGCTACAGCCCTGACCCCCTCTTCCTCTTGTGTTAGTAGCTGATGACAAGACAGTCAGCTGGGAAAGGTGGAAAAAAAGGAGCTGCCAACAGAGCCACCAGTTGGCTCCTCCTGCAGCCAGACACAGCAGCAACTGGTGCTCTGCTGGTATTCATATGTCAGGACTGACAAGAGGACTGCTGGTCTCCCTCCAGGATGTGAGCCCTCCCAGCCTTTCACATATGGCACCCAAGCCAAGACATGATCTTCTCTGAATGAGCCATAAAAAAAAAAGAAAAAAAAAAGGATGGATCTTTACTCTGGCATTGTGGCGAGCAAAATCAGTCAGTGTTTTGGTAACATCTCTGGTTGCCGCAACAGACAATTTGAGTTACTCCATTTCTGAAATCCTTTCCCCACAGAGTTTTTTATTTATTTAAAAAGGTGAAAACATTTCATGCCTTATAAATTAAACATTTTTATATCTATTCAGCTCTATTTCACTTGATTGTTTATGGCATTTATTAGACAGATCACAGGAGAGGGCAGCGAGAGATGGGGCGATGGGCAACAAAAGTCCCCAGCCGGATATGACCCAGCTGCTTGTTTCACAAATGCAATTTGTGAGTGCTGCTTACATGCAGATTGAAAATGGTCACAGGGCCTTGTTTCGCAAATTATTGCAGTTATATTTGCAAGGACGCTTGCATGCTCACACACGGACTGCGAGGTTCGGATTAGTCAAACATTTGGAAATTAGCAAATTATATCCTCTTGCAAATTGCAGGTTGCATTTTGCAAATTTGTCGAGATGGACCTTGCTGATCATGGTTGGCACCTTAACCTCAAGGCCACCAAGGCACTAACCCTACAAAAAGAATTTAAACCTGCACTGAGTGGATTTTTTATATTAACAGGTTTAAACTGATTGACAGGTTTAGCTGGTGTTTGCTGTATCCTAATTCAGAGGCTCAATCTTCCACATTTTAGAGTAAATACATCAAACTGGGGCCAACTTGGCCAAAGACTCCTCAACATGTGACAGAAGAATGAAGCATTTTTGCTCAAATTAGGAACACTTGTGAGATTCTTATCAAATCTTGGGGGGAAATACCATGTGACAATGCTGTATTATCCAGGAAATGGTGGTTATCAGTCACTGGTAAATACATTACATTTAGTGGACAACTGAAAAAGCTGCTGCAGAGTCTAATTAATGGCAGCCAAGCATAAACTCTGCTGTTTGCTCTTGTTAGTAGCATGAATATATCGTCGATTACAGGACATTACAGAGAAATGGAAGTTACGTTAAAGCTGTATGTTTAATATTAAGCACTATTCTCATCTATTTTGTTCTGGTGGTGTGCTGCTGAAAAATGTCACATCAAGTTGAAGGCACTTGGTGATAAACGTGGCGCTGACGAGGACTGGCACGGACCATTAGTTTTGGTCTCTGAGTCTGGACTGTCTCATTTGTTGAGGAGGAGCCGGTTCAGCCTGATATAAGGACCATCTTTGCTGTCATGTGATCATCATGCCAAACCTTACGATTTGATGTAATATTACAATACTATAATGTTGCGTATGAGTCTGAGTATTTCCTGGCTGCAAATGAAATAGTGATTCCAATAAGGTAAATTTGAATTTTTGAAGTAAAAATTATTTTTTTTCACCGACAGCATCACCAGATACTACTGGAACAACAGCAGACATGTTGCCTGCTTTCCAGAGCAGCAGCAGCAGACAGTCTCTGCTGGTCTTCACACACCTGAAGACGGAGTGTGTTTTTGTTGAACTCGACACACAAACCGACACTGAACAAACATGTAGGCTGCACCCACACACTCACACACACACACAAACACAAACCCATCTAAACATCCTCTCCTTCGTCTCTCCATCCCACTGTGCCTGCACACAGAGGGAGATTCAGTGGCCCGGTTGCCATGGAAACCATGCCGAGTGTACCAGCCAGCTCTACCGTTGGCTGATTGTGGCTCTAACCCCTCTGTGCTGTGTGTTTGTGTGTGTGTGTGTGTGTGTGGTGAGTGAGTGTGCACTTGCGTAGGTGTGTGTGAGACTGTAAAGCCTATACAGGGCTTTGCTTTGAGTTGTTCAAGGAGAGGCTAAAATAGGCTATATGTACAAAAACCTATAGGGCGTCTGTAAGCTTCTCTCTCTGTAATTAATGCCAGTTTTTCAAGTCTCAACATGGTTTCAGGAATTGCGTTCATGTGTAGAAACACTAATAGACACTTCATACATTAAATGGCTGAGTTGCTAAATTAATTTTTGGATTATGTGCAGTTTAAAATCCCTCCTCCTATCACTGCCTTCCTTAATGAATGACATTCTGTGCAATCGCATGAGACTGGGGAGGATATTTATCTCAGGAAGTCCTAAATAATCCGTACTATGGGTAATGAGTTCCTCATAGAGTGCCAACAAATCCTGCCTAACATGCAGGCCCCGGTGTATGTGGTCCTTCACCACCCCGAGTCGCAGAGTTAATGAAGGACAAGGCAGTGGGAAGGGTGATGTGAGCAGGCGAGGAGGCAGCTAACCTTTAGAAACCACAGGAGAGTTCAGCTCCCTGTGTTCACCTACAGCGATGGGAATATTTTTTTTTCTTCTTTTTTTTCTAAAGCAACACCAACACTGAACAGGTAAATGTCATCCAGCACGGGGCAAATCATTTCCTCTTGCAAATGAAGAGGTCAGATGGAAAAGGGGAACTCATTTAGCTGCGACACAGTGTGGCTTTGAGAAATGTCATGTCCAGACCAGGACTGCTCAGCGGGTCGCAGGCGTGTGAGGCCTTAAACCCGGCCCCCTAAACTCCCTGAGGAGTGGAGATGTTCTTGTCTGAGGAAGAGAGCCATCTTGACCCAACCTAAACAAGAATATGAATCTCTGCTGCTGGAAGACTGACAGGTTTTACCAGCTCTTTCTGACAGAGCCAATCAATGCATGTATATCTGCAGAGCAGGGTGGGGTCAGGGTCAGAGGGGAGGAGTGTGGGGGTGAGTCTAACACCTGGGGACTGATAATCACCATCAGAGCCCTGGAGGAATGTCTGCTGATGTCTCTCAGCTCCACCTCTGTGACAATAAAGCAGTGTGTAGCTGTAGACACAAGGGTTTTCCTGCCGTTACCGGTGATGTTATCAGAGCCATTTCAGTGTGAGATACAGTGCAGTCTGTGTGCTGCCGTGACACACATAGGCGAAGAGAGAAGGAAACTGTGTTTAAAGAAGATAAAATAAAGGCTTTTCGTTTTTAGGTGTCACAGTGGAAAAAAATTAGGACATTTAAGATCCAATGGAGGTAATTTCCATTATTTAGAAATAAGGAAATATTCAAGGATCGAAATATAACTTAAACAAATGTGATTTGAAATTAAAAAAATAAGAATTTCAGACCATTTTGGGGGAAATTGTTCCAGTATATGATGCTCATCATATATTATATACTGTCATCATATATACTGAATAATCATTTAAATTACACTTTTTTCAATGATATGTAACAGAGAAAGCCATTAACTCCTCACAGTTTGAGAAGCTGAAAATACAGATTGTTTGGTAGTTTTGCTTGATTAATGACTCACAAAAACAATCGCTTCACTGACATAAAAAAAATCAAAATCATTGGCAATTACATTTATGTCAATCAAATTCTACTGCAAGCAATTTTTTACTTAATTTATGTAAATTATAAAAGTTGGAAATGAAAAAAAAGTCAAAAACAATCATTTAATGGCTGCAAGACAGGAGGATGGAAGATAGGATGGAGCCACCGAACTCTCAACACTATTAGTCCTCACTTTGACTCCATTAAACTTTCACATGACTCTTCATTAAATAAGATGAGTGGAAAGTTGAGGCTGAGTCTAGCGCCGGATTAGCAGTCTGAGGGAAGGATTAAGTGTGAAATGTTACCTGTCGGACAAAGCTGTTGGAGGTGGTGTCAGAGGACGTGCTTCCATCTGAGCGCTTGAATCGGCTCTTCCTCTTGGCGTACTTTCCCTGAAACCACGAGGTTGGAGAGCAGGGCGGAGGAGGATTTGGAAGGAAAGAAGAGAGAAAACACAAAAAGTTTAATTGTGCTGCTCCATAATAACTTAACCTGACATAATTCTAAGAACAACTTGTTTCTGGAGAGCATGATAGCCATTAACATTTGACACAGCATTTGTTAAAAGCTGCTGAATATGATCAGGCAGTCAGATAGAGCCAGAGATAAAGCAGCATGAGTCCCAGACCGCAGAGGAAGTCGACCAGAGAAAATGTGTCTAGTGTGTCCATGAACAGTCTTCATTACTTGTCATTTTTCATGTTCTGATGCAAACTGGGACCTTGTAATCTGATTGGCAGACCCCTGGCAAATGGCCTATCCGGGTTGGGCAGAGGCCACACATTGCATTATGAGCCCACTCTGCCCACATCGCCATGGTTACGCAATGCCGACTAATCACATTTGTTGGCAATCAGGAGACTGGCTGTGTTGTTCCTCCAGTGTGTAAAGAAGAGAGAACAGCTGGTTGGAATAAGGCTGAGAAAAAACACAACAGTGTAACATACAGAATATTTACATGTCACCACATTTACAAGAATACTTTGTGTATCTGCGTATTCATACAACTGAACTACATTTGCTCAGGGGGTATAGCTCAGTGGTAGAGCATTTGACTGCAGATCAAGAGGTCTCCGGTTCAAATCCGGATGCCCCCTGATTTTCTGTCACATCTCATGTTCCCGCAGAGGAAGCAGCAAATGTAATAAGACTGAACAGGTGCTTCTCCATCTTTTATCTTGTTTACTACAAATCGCCTGTTCTTTATATGACTGCTTAATATATTCATAAGACATAGTATTTTAGATACATGTTTCCTTTCAATTATTTTGATTGACTGATTAATCATTTAGTTAATAAAATGTCAGACGATGCCCATAACGGCTTCCCAGAATGCAAGTTGATATTTTTTATTTTTTGCTGGGTCCAGCCAGCAGACCAAAAACCCAAAGATTTTCAATGTACAGTAAAATAAACCAGAAAAAAAAGAGAAGAAATGTGGAAAGGTGGCAGAAAAAAAGAGACAGGAAGCAAAAAATATGTATATATTTTTTGGATAAATGAATTAAATGAGTATTCAATAAGCCAATAAGACAATTAACTGACGATTAATAATTTCAGCTGATATTCTTTTATTTTATCACAGTCTTCAAATCAACTCTGACATAAATCTAGCTTTAGATAGCTCCTGACACAGTGAACATTATGTCTCTTCAATTTCTGTCAAAGCTACATACTGTATAATCACCGGGTAATACAGTTAAAAGTCCTGTTTGATTTGAAAAGATCCAGCAGCCCTTTTAATAACAACAAAAAAAACTACTATATTGACATTATCCCACGGTCTTCTATAGGTTTAATTTGTCAGTAACTTCCAGTAGCTTGTACTTGTACTGGTTCTTAAATCTTACATATCCAAACTTTCCTTCCATTCACACAAGAATACACTTGACATTCTATCATATTGATTACTGTGCACTGACAATTTACTATAATTTAGCCAAAAAGAGAACCATGTATGTTCAATATGATGGATTTCTTAAAAGTCATTTCAAGTCTGCACATAATTTTCATATCATACTGATTTGGATTGGGTATCCAAACCCAAGACTTTAGGAGCACCAAATGAAACGTGTCCTTAACACTGAGCATGAAGAACTGTCTAATTTCAAATCTCATTTTCTTGTCTTGTTTACGAATTGTTTGGAAAGACATTTTCTGATCTAACTTTGCTTTTTGTAAATCTTCACTTTAACACACCCTGTTTAGTATTTATAAGCAACATAAAATCCTAACATGGTTGTTATCTGAAACTGCCACTGGTAATGTTCAAACGATATCCAGCCCTAATACTGACATGGAGAGGAATCAATGGATGCCTGTAAGGTAAGAAATACTGTCCTTACATCTATTCTATTCACTTTCAGTTTGGTCAACATTATCCCTCTGAACTGTACTTTGAATACACACTGTGAGAACCGATTACCCACCATTGTTCACACATACTGGTTTACAGCAAAGAATGTAGCCCTCAATCCCTTAACCTGTACATACGTACACCTACAGTATGTAAACACTGAACATAACCAGTCTGCTGCTTCAAACCTTACATGTCTGAATATCTAAAGGCTGTTCCTGGGTCAGTGGAAGAGATCCAGAGACAGGTTAACTACCTGCCAACAGTAATCCCTTCTGGACTCAGTATCTTGTTATCACTGTCACATCATGTACAACAGTTCAGACCAAGGTCCTCGGATGAAAGACGCTGTCCTGCCTGCCTTTAAACAAACATGACCTGTAACACCAGCGCTGAATGCTGTGAACAGAAAAATACTGCGGCCGGGAGGTTTTCAGTGTGAACAGAAAAAAGAAAACCAAATCTGTAACAGACTCCTCTCCCAAAACAATGTATCTACCTAGCCTTTTGTGCTACACTCGATTTATTGCTGCTGGATGAAAACACAGCAGGATGTTCGACAGCAAAGTGGCTGATATGCACCCAGCAAAGCCACAAAATTACTGCACTACTGAAGTACAGTTACTGGCTTTTAATGTTAAAGTGGAGGTGATAACATGAGAAAAGATGTAGATCAGCAACTGTGCTTGGGGCTTAAATGCAACTTTTATACTGAAAAATACAGGATGATATGTTGACAAGTCTCTCCACCTACAGCAACTTAAATAGTTGTCCAAGAATCATGACTTTTTAGAAATTGCAGTGTGCACCAGTAAAAATATGATGACTACACAGAGACATGATGTCATACATTAGAGATTTGAATGATGTTAAAGAAAAAAACTCTTTTTGCTCACATTTTTATGGTTTATGGTAACATTTTAGCCTACATATACAGGATATAATATCCAAATAATGACATCGAATCACTGGCTTTTGCTAATAACTGATTCTGTTATCTTGATCCTGCATGCATTATGATCAGATTTCAATAGATTTCAAATCAATGACAGCAATGTGATTGTGTTTTTTTTAAGGTTTGTGTGGGACAGCAGGAAGAGGTAGAGTTCGGTAACCCATCAACTTGTTGGATGGATTTTCCTCTTGCGGGATAAATTCACAATTTTTCAAGTCTGTTTTTAAAACAATAGTGTAGTTAGCTTCTGCTGCTCATACTGATCTTTAAGAGATGCCTGCCTGGGGTGCTTTCAATTCACAGTCCTTGTTCTGAGTAAAAATGAATTAAAATTTTAATCTGAAGCTATAATGAGGCTTTAGCAGCCTGAGTTAGACAAATCAAGTTGATATCTCCTGAAGAATACAGCGTTTTTACTACAAAATGTCCTGCGTATTAATATCCTTCCGTTTCAGCTCAACAGTGAAACACAAATGTTGTGCTAAAATGACCATAACTTTGGAGGATATACACCCGATTTGACTAACTGAGAATGCTGCAGCCTCATAAGCCTCAGATAAACTTCTGAATAGATTTTTGCACGAACAAAGATTGTGGATTTCATCCCTCATTTTTATATTAGAGTGTATTTGGATCTCTCATTGGCCAGAGTGAACAGGAGGAATGATTGCAGCAAGCAAGAACTGTTTCACTTGAAAATTAACGTATCCTTTAAGAGTGTAGCGAGTGTGACTGCAATATAACTGAAATTTGATCACATGTGAACAAGACCACCTGCATAATGTGGACAGGCCAATCAGATCACAATCTGTTCTGCTGTATTTACACCTGCATTAACAGGTTTAGCCATATCCAGATACAGTAGGTACCAGATTTACTATAAACGGTGACTTACTCACCATCTTAAGATGTCAGGGTGCAACATGATCAGACAATCCAAAAGGTTGTAAACAAATCTACAGTTCACCTATATAATGTGTGAGCGAAAACAAAGATGAACACACCCCAGTTACACACATATTATCCGCAGGAGTGTTAAGTGAAGTCAAAGTTGCACCAGGAAGACCTCTGCAAAACCTGAAACTTGACAATGGACATTTTAAGCAACAGTTGTTGTTCGCCTCTGTTTTTCATTTGCAAATAAACCATTTAGATAACATGATTATACTGTGCATGTGCTTACAACCTGTTAGATAATCTGTCTGGTCACGATGCTTTCCCTGCTGGAGATGTTGCTCTGCTTCCAGATATCTCAGCAATTAAGCTGGTAAATAAAATGTTAGAATAACAGATAGAGATGAGGACTGGGCTACTAAAATGAGAATGTAATTTTCTTCAAGAATTTGCTAGTGATGGCGGCAGAGGAAAATCAATGTTGTCATACATTATCTGTCTCAAGTTCAAAACTAAATTTAATATATTGTGTGTGGGTGCTGGTAGGTGTGTGTGTGTTTAGGGGGGTCTCTATGATCAGTGCCATGATGGGGTGAGTTCCCGTCAGCAAAGGGCAGGGAAATGCCAGAGGAAGTAGGGTGGGGAGGCTTCCTGTTGGTAAACATCCTCCTAGATTAAGATTAGAATTAAAGAGGGTGTTATGTGTGAGCAAGGGGATTTAAACTGGGAGGAAAGAGGCATGGGGGGTGATGGGGGGCACAATATCACGCCTTTGAAAGATACACCACAGTACATGTTCCACATTGTGCTCACAAAGATGCACACTGGTCTGCAACCTGTTGCTGATCAACAGACACGATCTTTAATCTAAGCAACCCCCAGGCACTGAATCCGGATCAGTTCTTAGCCCACAGTTCATTTCTTCTTCTGTGGTGCGGTGCTGGGTAGAAAACTCCAACTGCCTCCTTCAGGATATTAGAAATGCGGTTTCCTGCTTGTCTCTCCACAGCAGAGCTATAAATGCATATACCAGCATGACCCGCTCCAGGTCTGCATGAACTTTATATCTAATTGATCAGAGGTGCCACACACACACACACACACACACCAATTCCTGTTGCCTGGCACGAGGAGGGGGGTCCATCTGTTTCTCACCACAGTCTTGCAGCAGATAAAGATCTGATTTCTAAAAACAGACAGGATGGGGTGAGATGGCGAGAGCAGGATGAAGATAGTGGGACATTCAAGGTGGATGGAGAAGGAATCAGGAGAGCTGGGGGGGAAGAGAGAGATGAGAGAGAGCAGGGAGGAGTGGGAGTAAAGAGGAGAGAGCAGGACTTGGCATGGTTTGAAGCACTGGTTGTCTGTGGTGAGGTGTTTTTTTTTTCCTTCTCCAGAGAGACAATGACTGAGCTCAGCGTGGGTGTGTTTGTTCTAGATATTCTCATCATGTTTTTTTTCATCCATTTAAACTGTTATGACTAAACATGCCCACAACATCATGTCACATCCTAAAAGCCACAGTCTATTTGTGGCTGTAAAAAGAGTGACACCATCGAAAGTTGAGAGATGAAATTATAAATAAAGGAAACATCAATTTAGCAAGTTGAATTTTTTATGTTTCTTTGGACTGAAAAACAGATTTAATGTCAGATGCACTTAAACTTAAAACACCAGCCACCAAAACCCAAATGAACTACTTTATATTACTGTTCTCATCAGGTTTGAAAACTTGAGATTTCACCTCTTTTTTTGATTCATGCCAAATCAAATAAAACTCAAATTCAACTCTTCTCGAGCTGAGCTTAATGACTGTTTGATTAAACAAAGGCGTGGTTTTCATAAAGACCCAATGAGCAGAAAGCATAAAAACGAGCGTTACATCATATCCTCACATATGGTTACACACAGCCGACTTACTAAAACCAACACAATTACATGCTAGACACGGGCCAAGGATGAAATAATACAAATAATACATCTGACTCCAAAGCAGGGGAAACTATAACCTATCACCAAATTTTGCCTCCTTTTAAAATCCTGAACTACATGTTGATAATTCAGGCTTAAATCAGTGCACCATATATTAGCGTTTTAGACTGCCGAAGGCAAACTAGAGACTTAATTGCCGAACAACCTGTTAATCTCCAGAAGTGAAACGGCTTCACTGTTATCAAAAAGCCTTCCTCGTATAAATGTAACAGTCAGCGCAGAGTACTTTCAGTTTTCTGTCATAATATTTCTGCTTTTCAGTTGCTTACCTGTGTGTGTGGATGATGGTCGAACATGTCCATTTGGATCTCCTGGGTTGAGGTCGAAGGCGTCCTGGACATACTACTTTTCTGTACCATTGATTTAACTTTTTAAAATCTATTTTCAGTTTCGTGTGTTTATGATGGTGTCGAAAGACTCATCTTTTTTCTGTCCAGGGAGGGTGAAGTCGCTGATGTATCTGAGCTGGCTGGTAATATAATGGCAACAGCTGCCTCCCTCCAGCCTATAGCGTTACACACACTGGCGCACCAGGCTTTTACACTAGAGTCAAGTCAACGGATTGACGCAACTACTGCTTTCAAAATAAAAGGCTTTGAAAAGGTAAACAAAATGGTGTAGCAACTAGGAGGCTGTTATTCATTTGACACCGTGTTGAAGAAGTAATAATGAATTTTTTGATTTCTCATATTGTTATTTTCCTTTCTTAAATCTATAAAATAAATTATATGCATTGAATGATAACCACTTAAGGTGACACATCCATGTCTCATTTCACTATACTCATTGAAACACATTTGTCCAAGCTACTTCCAAAAAAAATGTCAAGGCCTTTCTTATTTATAAGTTTAGCAGGCTATATTGCCTATACTATTATCTTGGGCTGCGCGATGGCCAAAAAAAAAATATTGCGATTATATTTCAAGACGTTGCGATTTCAGTTGGAATAGTAATTTTTGCATTACATTTTCACTGAAAAAAGAAAACTGAAAATGATGTGATTTTTGATGGCTTTTTTAAGAACAAACATACAAACATGTTCCCTTATGTCTGGACAATATATGATTGAATATGAATGATGATAATGGATATGATTTATAGGCCGGGTCATCTCTGTAGCACTACAGCGCTTATGGTGCTAACAATTCACAACATGTTGTGACATATTTCACCTTTATCAAAAGAATTGCAGCTCCTGCATTTTTCTTTTTTGCAGCTCCTGTGATTTGGATATTGCACTACGCCAATGCGATTTTCAATTAATTGTGCAGCCCTACTATTAATTAAGTTGTTATTGTGCGACTACTGGGCTACAGGTAAATGTAACGATTATAGCACTTATAGAACTATTAGTCCTCGCAGTAGAACGCGTCTTCCAGCAGACATGCTTTTATTTTGACAGCAGTATCCTCTAACTACCGGTATAATTATGTCTTTTTCTCTCAGACTTGATGCCGTTTCTCTCTCCTGTGTGCGCTCAACAGACTCCAGCTGGGAGCCGTGGTCCACGCCCCACTGAACAGACCCCACCTTCACTTATCGATTGATGAGGGAACAACAGAGCCACCGTGATGGTGGCTGTGTGTATAGACAGACTGTAAGGCCAAGCCACTGGTCCCCACATCGGGATCCTAAAACCAGAGATCCTGGAGGGCTGTAATGGGGGTGAGAACAGTTCAGTTTCACAGTTAGTTTGTTGTAGCAGCAGGGGGTCTCAGTATCTGAACTCCCTATGTTTTGAAGAATCGGCGACCCATGCTGATGTGGCCTTGAGCAAAAACACCAAAGCCCTGTCAACTCGAGGGACCCTGATAACCGATCCTGTGTTCAGACACATGGGAATGGATGCTTTAAAAGCCCTAGAGCTTTAAGAGGGCCTGAAACATACCAGAAATTATAGATATTTACAGTTTGGGGTTGCTTGATGAACTAATGTCAGTTTTGTAGCATCCCCTTGGTGGATAAACACAGCCAAAAGAAATGTTACCCACTGAGATTACAATCACATTACATCAACATGGCTCTGTCCACTTACAGCTTATTAAAAAATAAGTAAATATTTGTCTCGTGGTCAAAACTTTGATATTACTATAAAAAACATCACTTGCAATAAAAGTTAGATATGAGTGAAAACTGCGGTTCTGTCGACTTACAGCAAATAAAAACCTAAGAATATTAAATATTTGTGATAGTTGTTAAGGTTTGTGATGATGTCCAAAAAGCCAGAGAATGCAGATCAAAAAGAAAATGGTAGAAAAAAAAGGTAAAAAAAAAAAAAAAAAATCAAATACAACACAACTACATCCTTCTATCACTCTCAAATTTGTTGAAAGGCAATGGCTAAATCAAAGTTGTTTTAAAATGGGTTTTGGCCACCTGTGAGCAGTGGAACAAGTGCTAAACACAACATTAGCATATTAGCACCGATGGCTGTGTTAGCAAACAATGTTCAGGCTACAAGTCCAGCTAGCATGGAGCAACACTAGCATTCATTTTGGAGTTATATTTTTAGTCCCCTGATGAATGTAATTCTAAATATTTACTCGCCTTTTAGCTTTGTTTTGCTCTGCAACACCGGCTGAGAAAAATATGTGGCTCTTCAGCTGCATGCTGTATAGCTCTCTTCAGCTAGCTAGTGGCTAACGTACTGAGGTGACTTCAGGCAGAAAGCGAAGCGAAGCGAATTGTAGCTTCTCGTCAGTCGCGCAAACTTGACCTTAAACCGTTTGTGCTTAATTCGCCTCAGCAACGGCCATGCTGACCATTTCTGTTGGAGTTTGTCTGCTTTTTACGTTCAGCTCAGCCTCTGACTGAACTCAAGACTCACCAGAAACTCCAGTTCTTTCTATCATTTAACTCCAGTTGCTTTACCTTTTTCTCTTGTCTCAATCCGTGCGAATTGGCGTCGACTCGCTGCGGTCGAAAGCGAAGGAATGAGAGCGGTGAGAGTGAACCAAACAGTGAAGTTGAGGACATACAAAAACAATGAACTGAAAGAAACCAAACATTGCAAAACATATCTCTGTGTCATGATCCTCTGAAAGACAATATACTTCATCTTCTAATGTAATTCTTAAATTGTGAATAAACAATAATGCAGATATGGCCTTTATATTAATAACTATACATGTTTATTCTCAGTGTAGCAGTGAATGATCTAATTTTAGATGCGCTGATGTGTATATCCCCAAGACTGCTGTGAACAGGTTTGAGTGTATGACTCTTAGATGAAGACAACTGTTAAAACATGTCTGCCAGAAAGATAAATACTTAGGTCACATGGCACAGATGATATCATATCAATTGATTAAATGAACCTGAATAAACAATGGGGCTGATTCATCCACCTCCACCTCTCATAGAAATCACCCAGAGAGGAAACTGATCTCCACGCCTGCATGCGAGCCTGTGACGAACTCCTTCTGGAGGGAAATCTGTGTGACGTGAACCGATCAGAGCTGATGGCATTGGATTGAACACCCACAAGATCATCATCTGTGACTGTAGCTCATACTTCCGGTGAGCTGGGTGGGAGGAAACCTTGCTGGGTATACTCCTTTTAAAAAAAGAGAATCATGGTGTACTTTCAAAATGATGATAGCTGTGTCTGGAAGGAGTCCCTGCGACTCTCCTGCAGCAGCTGGTCGACATGTTCCTCCAAGAAAAACATAATGTGCAGCTAGAGAACAGAGTTTCAGGTTGTTCTTAGCTGGATCACATGCTTGTTTTTCAGCTCTGTGCTGTTGCCCAAGGTAACTGAGTGGATGGGCACTGAGTCAGCGGCAGCTACCTTCAGTTTACATTAAGATCTTTGGTATTTAGCTGATACTCTTCGTTGCAACTATACATGCAGTGAATGCAACAGTAAAATATACTCAAGTACAAGGGTCAGTACTTTATAATCAGTATTCTTAAATACATTTTTCATTCATTTATGTATTGTGTATTTTGGCTGTTTGATTTCTAACTGCTGTGTTTTTTCTCTCCTAGAAGGGCATGACTTGATAATTACTTTCTGAATGATGAACCTTGTGAGCAACATCCCTTTTGAGAAGGACAGAAGTACAGGCACATCATAATGAATTCAGCATTAAAGGACCCTGCAAATGAGATTACTGTATCCTTCTGACCTGCACAGTATGTCATCCTGCTTTTCAGTTGAGGTTCAGCTTCACCCCTGACTCAAAGTAAGTGATGGCAAGCGGAGGCTCAGGCTTAGTGCTGCGTTTGGTGACTGTGATACCATTTAACCCGAGTCCAAGGAAATAAATGCCTTTTTACCAATTAAATATTCCAGTAAAACATCAGTCTGTTAATTTCACCCCATGCACTATAGCATGTGTCCAACCTTTAGAAGGTATTTTTATTGAAGTATATTATTCATTAACAAACTAACACAGTAACAAATTAATATCAGAGCGTTACAAGGACTGATTTTGAGAATGTAAAGATGTGGAAGTGTCAAGTACCAAATGGAGCTTAGCACAAGTTCTCACTATTCTAGTATCTACGATGGATTCAGCAGAAATTAGAGAAAGAAATATTAGGGCTTTATGCAGCCACAGTTCAACAACACCCCACTGCACATTAATTGACTAAGTAACCAGATTCAACCAAAATCGATATAGTTGGTTTTAGGCTATATGTCCTGATAGTGCCAATCAGTGGTTGCATTGCAATTTAGTGTCTCCTGTTCAAATTCTGTTGAGTCAAGACTTTTTTTTCTCATGCACAGCAAAAACTTCAAACTGTAATGCTGTTTGTACCTATTTGTCTAAGAGAACACTCCATCATATTACCTGTGTTTCCATGTGCACTAGTATACTGGTTGTGATCTGATTTTTGGAGTATCCCGGTTATGTGTTGAGCATGTAAACACCTTATCCAGGTTTCTGATCATTCTCTGTTGGTACGGAAATAAGAAGCTGAGACGTTGAGAGGACAAACAAATAATTTGAAACCTGGATGTGTAGGCATATAAATAACCAGGTTTATCATCCTTAAAAGCATAATATTCCAAATATTCAAAACCACATTGACACGAAACATACTGATCATGAGTAAGGTTTATTGGTTTGTAATAGATTCAATGTGTGAAATAAAAGTATAAGGTAAGAAAACTTTAGTCAAGGACAGTTACAGCCCAGCAAACAGTCCAATTTCTTGAGGATTTAAAGATTGTTGTTCTCCTACAGCACAGCACTTTCTTTGGCAGAGAGGAAAGAAGTGTCTTTTGAAGTTGTACCAGCAAATGATCTGGTACTTTGGGTCATACTTTGCTTGGAGATGATTTTGTTTGGTATTCTGGGTTATCTGAGGTGAAGAAGTCACACAAGTGCTACTCATGCACCCACACTGTGAGCGTACAGCGTTGCCATGGAGATGTGCTGCTCCCGGAGAGTCGAGGATGCAACAATGAAATGGTCAGTCAGATGGTAATGTACCAGTTGGCTTTTTTT